TGTTTGTAATGTTGATTTTATATATATATATATATATATATATATATATATATCTACTTGATAATATTATTTATTGTTTATATATATTTTTTTCACTTTATTCACTTATATTATTTATTTTTGTTAAAATTCAATTTTAAATTAAATTTTTGCATTATCTATTTTTTATACTTATATATTATACTTATACTTTTATATATATTTATTTTCATATTTATTTATTTTTTTATTTATTTGTATTTTTTCTTAACCCCCTTTGGAAACGAGCCTTTTGGTTTAAAGGGTCTTCCAATGCTCCCTCTGACCTTATAATTTTTTTCTTGCTTTTTATCATGGTGATTTTTTTTTTATATTTTAAACTGTTCCTTTCTTTTCCTTTTGTTATTGTTTTGTGAATTATCTGATTGCTTATTACCTTTTCGATGTTGTCCTTTCCTTTCTTAATGTTTTTGTTTTGTATGTAAATTTTTCCTGTAATTTTCTGGTTTTTTTTTTTTTTAACTACTTTGATGTAGTTTTTATTGTTAAATAATTTTCTGTACTATGAGCAAGAAATAAATACAAACATACAAACCATTGCACACAGTTTTTCAATATTTTTCTTCCAGTTTGTACAGAGAGTGGAATGCAGGAGTTGAAATTCTTATCATCATTGAACCCCGGTGCTGTACAACGGATCTGCTTCTCACTATAACATCCGTTTATTTAAAGATTTCTTGTGGATCAGTCACTTTAAGTAGCTCACAAATGTGCTAAAAACAAACAAATTCATATAATACTGTGACTCCTGGTTTATAGCTTATATTTCAAGATTATTTGCAAATTAGTCAATTTAAATGTGCTGAAAATAAAAAAATTAAATAATATTGTGACCAAGGGCGGCGCGTGGATTTGCCCAATGGGGAACCCGAGGTCCCCGACGGGGGTTGCGATGTCCCCGACGATGATAGCAAAGTTCCTGCGGTCGAGTGTCGCTCAAAATGTTTCAAAAGTAGTCCAGCCGACGAAGACCCCAAAAAATATGACAATTTATTTCCTGACTCACAGACTCAATAATGAGGCCTGGTATGGACCATCATGTTTCCTAAATGATACTTTAGCATTCCACTTGCAAAGCCTCACATAAATTACTTGGTTATAGATTTTTGAATTGTCAGTTCTGTACTCCCTAAGCTCCTCATGAACACCCATTTTGTAAGAGAGCATTATAAAGTTATGAAATGTTGAGTTATGATTTCCTCAAGCTTTTATGAAATGACTTGTTTATAGAGAACTGGGAAAGGGCATTAGGCTGTAGGGAGTCCCAACTCGCCAAGCCTCTAAACAATTACTTGAAGTCAATGTTTCTGATCAATTTTTAACAGAGTAACTTTGTAGATGCTTTGTGCAGTAATGCTCTTTCTTTCTCTACGTGAAGCTACACAATTTGTGCCCCTACTTGGGACCCCTTCTACATTATATTCTCATTTTCTTTTTCCCATGAAGGTACAGTATTTTCGTCATTATTCTATGAATGTATTCATGACGTGTGTCCGTGTTTGGGTTTAAATAGTTTATGCTTGCCAGTAACAACCTGCTTGTTTTGACCATTTGTAATACGCTAAATGTGCTCTGTGAGTCAAAACTGTAGGACAGGTGGAATGAACTTTTTTACATTGACAGTTCTGGTAAATTCCACCTCTTACAAATTTCTGTATATTGTATATTATTCGTTTTCTTTAATTTTTTTTGTGGGAAATGAATGTCTGAAATGAAAATTTGAATTGAAGGAGACCACTATACTAGCTATATACATACACAAAATTGTAGCCTCGACTGAACAGGTTATAAAATGTAGCCAAATTAATTAACATGAAATAGTGTTTTAAGGCTGATACTTGAATAGCCACTGTCAACTTTTATGAACTTTAAGTTGAATTAAAGCCAGAGAAAACTGTTATTAGTTTATATTATTGCCCAATAAATAGGCTTTTCAATATTTGTTGCCATGATGTTTGGTTTTTCTGCTGTGGTTTTTGATATAATGAAGATTTGTGCGAGGATGCAAATTATAAACAGAAATTTGTTGTTACTTTTGCTGGCTAATATGAACAAATTAAGCAGTTATAGTCTGCTGTGACAGTGTTTTAATAATGTCAATTAGAAATGCTTTATAATATATCATTTCATTGTTAAATCATCATCATTATTATGATTATGGTTATCATTAGTCCTTATTGTTGGTGATCTTCATATGTAAAATACTGCAAAATCTGAACAAAATTAAACTGTACTAATAAGGGGAATTATAAATGTTTAACTGCAAGGCCATCAGAAGCGGTCCAGTTGGTTCGGTTTTGGTCGGACCAATAATTTACCAATCATTATCATTTTTCCTTTTAACGCAACAAAGTCTTTTAACAAAATGACAGAATAACCGTCCTCAGCACACACGCCACCCATGGACAAGGAAAGAATATTTTAAAAGCAAGATATGAATTGATTACCAAGCAAGTGAAAATTGAATTTTAAAATATTTGTAACTTTTTGGTCTTTCAAACAGTCCTTTCCAAAGAATAATTATGTTTAATGGAAATACTGTATCAGAAACTTGCATTACTGTAATTAGCACAGACCTGACATGTCTTTTCTAAAAGGTAATGTTCATTTAATTGCATACATTTTTAATACAGTTTCCCTCTAATTCGAGATCACCTTGGGGACCTGGATGGTACGATCTCGGGGTTCGGTCTTTAATTAGAGAGTTGGCTTTGTTTAAAAAAGTTTGATCATTTGTATATGGTTCTGAAAAAGTAGTCTTAAATTAGAGGGTACTAGAGTCATTTTCAAGAGATCCGTGACTAATTTTATGATACCTTTTTTTCTCGATGGATTTGGCAAGATGGACCAATTTAGATAAACTATAGCTCCTATATACCTCCCAGATATGGGGGAAAAGTCCCGTTTTGGGGCGTTTTTTCAAAATGGCCGCCTGTTGATTTGGACACTTGTATCTCGATAACCACTGGTCAGAGAGACTTGATTTTGGTCTCAAATTGTTCACAATATGCATGTTCCTTTTTGTTGTAATACAACTTTTTATCACAAAATGGCGGGAAATGCGATTTTTGAAAGTTTGACCTTTGACCTTGTATTGTCATATCTCGGTAACTACTGGTCACAGAGACTCACAATTGATTGCAAATTGTTCAGGAGATTCATGTTTATATTCGTCTTAATGAAAAAAATTTTCAAATAGTGATCGGAAACGGTACATTCTGACCTTTGACCTATTGTAGGGTCATTCTATGTCAAATGTAGGAGCGGTTGGCGCACCGGTTGTGGTTTGGACTCCCAACCTTTAGGTCGGGGGTTCGAAACTCTGGCTGTGCAAATCGCTTGTGTCCTTGGGCAAGGCACTTTATCTACGGTTGCCTCTCTCCACCCAGGAGTACAAGTGGGTACCTGGTAGGTTCCAACACAACCTGCGCTGATTACTAGCTGCAATTTATGGAATGATAATACTGTATAATTTCATTTACTAATTTAATTTGGTGTTTCAATGTGTACCATATTTGTTTGATCCAATGACCGGGGTAGTAATGTGAAGTGCTTAGAGGCCTTGTAAAGGCATGAAGCGCTATATAAGAACGACATATTATTATTAAATCAACCAGATTTAAAAAAAAAAAATTCCTGTATGACGGTCTCAGATTTTCATGAAACTCCATAAAAATGATCCACTATATGCTAAACCAACCTTATAGGATATATAGTTTCCGAGATATTGACTCCTCAAAAAAGGGGCATGGTGTCTTCAAGATGTGCAAACGCAATTTACTTCAACTTTGGAAGCTTATAACTCGAGATTGGTCTTGGTATTCTAACTTATTTTTCGCCATATTTCACAAATATGGCCTTAGATTAACAGTTATCCCTTCCCTTTTGAAGTTATTTGCACTCAAAGTAGCCGCTTTGTTTAACGATGCAAATTTTTTTGTGATTTTCTAGGTCACCCGGGCCCTGCGTCCATTTGAGTAGGTATATACACTTCATATTACAGATATATTATCTAAGTGTAGTTGTCTCTAGCCACATGCAAGCGCAGGCTGATCAACTCAATTAAAATTGAATGGCATATATTCAAAGTTGGGACCAGATCCATAAAAGTGAAAAACGCCTAAAAAATAAGTTAGAATACCAAGTTTGACCCTGATAGCTATTACCAATCTCGAGTTATAAGCTTCCAAAGTTGAAGTAAATTGCGTTTGCACATCTTGAAGAACCACGCCCCATATTTTTGAGGAGTCAATTTCTCGAAAACTACATATCCTATGAGGCTATTTTTTTGTTGGTTTAGCATACAGTGGATCATTGTTATGGAGTTTCATCAAAGTCTGAGACGGTCATATAGGAATTCCTTTTCAATCTGGTTGATTTGACATGGAATGACCCTACAATAGGTTAAAGGTCAGAATGTATCGTTTCCGGTCACTATTTGAATATTTTTTTCATTAGGACGAATATAAACATGAATCTCCTGAACAATTTGCAATCAATTGAGTCTCTATGAGATATGACATTACAAGGTCAAAGGTCTAACTTTCAAAAACCGCATTTCCCGCTATTTTTTGATAAAAAGTTGTATTACAACAAATAGGAATATGCATATTGTGAACAAAATGTGAACCAAAATCTCTCTGACCAGTGGTTATCGAGATACAAGCATCCAGATCAACAGGCGGCCATTTTGAAAAACGCCCCCAAACGGGACTTTCCCCCAATATCTGGGAGGTATATAGGAGCTATATTTTATCTAAATTGGTCCATCTTGCCAAATCCATCGAGAAAAAAAGGTATCCTAAAATTAGTCACAGATCTCATGAAAATGACTCTACTAGGGGTCTCAAATTCGAGTCCACATTTTTTTCAGAACCAAATAAAAATAACGCGCAGCCGTGTCTTTTTGACAACCCGATAAGAATAAGATCCGAAAAGTCTATATATTTTGGTAGTTGGAAAACAACAGGCCGATCTGAGGAAACAAAACCCTGGCCATGGACCCTCCATCTGGGAAAATGCTATTTTTTAGTCTCAGGGTGCCATCATCGGGCAACTAGTGTCGGTGTCTAATTTATTATAAATTTGCTCACATCAGCCCCAACCATAGTGGGTTGAGGTGGGTAGGCGATTTCAGGGGGACACTGGTAACGTATCCCTTTTCGGTGTAGAGTTGGATAGAAGGAGATGCGAGGTCTCAAAGCAGTGACAAGGTTTATGGATAATAATATTTTTGTATGTCAATATGTTTTTCTGTCATTTCGCAAATCAATACACCATAATTCACATAAAATAATATAAGAATTTGCTTGATTTGGTTATTATTAAGAAATAGTACTAACTTCTGTGATCAGTTGTCAGTGGCGGATTATGGGAGACCCCCATTCTCTCCAGCCCCCCCCCCCTTCCAACTTTTTAACAGTAAGAAAAATAATGGGAAAAAATTGTATTCTAAATTAAGTCTGAGAATGCAATTTCCATCATATTTCTCTAGATGTTCCCTAAAATAAGCTTTAGCAACAGAGGCACCAATTTGTGGAATTCATTCAGAAGTGTTAAAAGTCTCTACTTGATTTTTAAAAAAAAATTATTTAAATGTAGCCTAGTGCTTTCTGTTTTTATAGTGAATTATTTTTACCCCATTTTTACGTTCCTCTGCAGTGATTTGAATTGCTTTGTCCTTTTTAACTTGTCCTTTGGTTGACATTGTAAATTGCTTCTTTTGAAATTAATTTGATAAGATATTCCATGTTAACTCTAACCTTCATCCATATTATTTGCTAATTTTTGATGTTGTAGTCTGTTTCTTATTTTGCTCCATGTTGTCATTTTAACTGATTTATTTTATGTTGAAAGACCTTAAGAAGAACGGCATTGTAATATTTTTAAATTAAATTTTACTGTTGATTTGAGTTTTTTTTTCTGTGGTTAAATAAAGATATACCGGTGTTATTATTAGGAAAGAGTGCCATTTCCGGGCATCAGGTGGTACATTTCAATTGTGTTCTCACCTTCGAACTTCATCTGGCGCCGCCAGAAGTAATCCTCTCGGGGATGAAGTTGGGGGAGGGGGTGGTGATTTCTTCTCGTTGGTCGGACCAATAATGTTTGCTTCCTATGGGCCTGTACTATATAATTTCATCGTCATAATCATCATTATTATTATTATTATTATTATAATTATTATTAATCTTTATTGTGCCAATGAACTGATCTTACTGCACAATGTGTAAACAAAATTAAACTAAGTAATATAATTCATTCAAATTTGTTTATTCAGACCCAAAAAATGCCCTGGTACCCTTAAAGCCAGTGCTCAGAAAATTTAAATCTATATTGCAACAAAATACAGGTAAACGGTCTCAACGAATCTATGTCTAGCGTCCGTTAATTAGTACTGGTTTGTATTTAAGGCAGGAAACAAGTTGGTTATGGTCCGAAGTACATCTGCCATGACCTCATGAAACAGGTCAACTTAACGGCAAGTATAATTTTTACAATATTATGTGTATAAATAACACAGTAAAAAAAATATTCACATTCATAAATACATTTTTGTAAAGCACGAATCTTTACGTACATTACTCGTACATTTTCTCGCAGATATAGGCCCGTAGGCGGGGGCTGGGGGTGCAGAGGGTAAGCACACCCCGCCCCCAAATTCCACTTTTTAAAACCTATTTCACAAAATCGTTCCTGATTATCACAAAATACTATAACATGCATTACAATATATATTTGCCAGCTCATCTAACCGTTGATTTTAATATGGTATGAAATTTGTTGGAAATTGATCGTCTCCGGTAATTGCAGATTGACCTATAATATGAACAATGTCATCTGTAGGCCTACAGATGCACAGGACATAATAACGTTACTTCTTCATGTCCCAAAAACACCCAAATTATTGAAAATTTAGATAAAATATTCACGAATTAT